ATATATATATATATATATATATATATATATATATATATATATATATAAAGTATATAAGTCAGGAATGACCAGAAAACACAACACACAAGATGCATCTAGCTAATTTCTGCCTGCTCGTCTATTTGGTTATTTACTTTAAAGAATCTCATAAGATTGTTAACAAGGCCAAAATCCGCAGCCTGGGCCAGGAGCCTAGTGCCTCAGGGGAGAATGAGTGTCACTTGCTTTTGAAGGCCAGTTCCTTCTCTTTGGAGGAATTCAATCTTTCTTCTCACGGGACTTTCAACTGCTTAGATGAAGCCCTATGAGAAGCCCCCACATTAGGCAGAGCATTCTGCTCTGTTCAGCGATTATTGGCTTCCATGTTCATTTCATCTTAAATACATCCTAGCAACATCAAAACGAGTGTCCCGCCAAGTGTCTAGCTAGGAATTATGTGCTTGCCTCGATGACACATGAAAGTGGCTGTCAATCAGGATTCTTCAGTGAATGACCCCAAGTGCTCCTCTGAAACACTGTGGGTGATGACAGTGGCCGTTGTCTGAGTGTGATGTGGACACTTCTCTTCCCAGTAGTACAGGCAGGAGTTGGTTTTGTATTTTAGAAGAGAAACGGCAGCCTCCAGGCCTTGACACAGCTAATTCATACTTGAACCCAAGCCTTTGGCATCAAAATTCTTTCTCTTTCTCCCACCCAACCTACCGTGGGCCTCACAGACATCCCCTTCTGCCCGCTGGCTCTCCTCTAACCACACACCCCTTGACTTGCGCATTGCCTCTCACTGCTACACCCCAGCCTGGATGCCAGCGAGTCCCCCTTACATCCTCTTCCTAACCATCTTGTCTGTCTGTACTCACCCACAGGGTCTCATTTGTACTACTTTACTATTTGTTTACTTGGTCCCCTCTTCTCTAGGCTTTCCCCAGACCCCAGCCTCCTCTCACGGGACCCTAGCATAGCCTATTTACAGATCTCTGTGTCTTTTTGCTTTTTTTTTTTTTTAAAAAAAAAAAGCTACTTGACATGGCTTGTGTAGCACAAATAATAAAAACCCAGGGACAGATATCAGGGTTCAACCTGAAGATCAGAAAGACAAAGCAGTCAAGCCACTAAAGAGCTCTCACCTCTGCGGAATCCTTAGACTGAAGGAGAGCGAGTTCCTGTCTCATCCACTTTATATTCCTCTCTAGTGCTGGGATTAAAGGCGTGCATGATCACTACCTGGCCCCTACGTCTGGCTAGTGTGGCTGTGGGGATTAAGGGTGTGTGCAACCACTGCCTGCCTGTATGGCTGACTAGTGTGACCATTTTGCACTGACCTTCAGGCAAACTTTATTTATCAAAATACAAATGAAATATCACTACATGTTTGCATGCGTGCACACACACCAGTTAATATCTGCTTAGGGCATTACACCTAAGGCTGTGTACTTTTTTTTTCCTCGAGTCAAGTTTGTTTTTTGTTTTGTTTTGTTTTTTTTTCTGTGTAACAGCCCTGTCGCTCCTGGAACTCACTCTGTAGATTAGGCTGGCCTCGAACTCACAGAGTTCCTCCTGCCTCTATCTCTTTGAGTGCTGGAATTAAAGGTGTATGCCACCACTCCCTGACAGCTGCATATTTTTAATAAAGAAAAAGCATAATTAGTTCACAATTTTGAAGACAAATTACAAACTATGGCCGTCTCATTGGTTCAGTCTCTGATGGGCCTCATGACACGTGACACCGTGGTGGGAGAGAGCACAAGGGGGCAGCTAGTCTTACCCTTTCATAATTAGCCATTCTCGCAGTAACTCACTTCAGGAGATAGTCATTAATTCCTTTTGAGGAGACAACCTCAGCGGCCTAATGTCCACCACTAGACCCCACTATCATCAAGCTGAGGACCAAACTGTAACCATGAACCCTGTTTACACACTCAAGCCTCAGCCAAGCCATGACGCCACGTAAGGCACCAGCTGTACTATGTTCAGCTCTCCTTCTTTAAGACCCCCTCAAGTTCCCCAAATCCAGAAAATAGAACTGAGTTTTGTAGGTGATGGGTAAGTTGTGAGGAGCAGATTAAGATGAAGGGAGGATCTTGTCTGGAGTCCTATAGCTGGGTTTCCTTGAAGTCTTTTTCAGTAATAATTTCCCCTCCTCTCTCTCCCCCTCCAATTCCTCCATATCTCCCCTATTCCATCTTAAATTATTGATCTCTTCTTTATTTGTTGTTGTTTTACACAGACACACACACATAACTTGCTGAGCCCAGTGTTTGTGTGTGTGTGTGTGTGTGTGTGTGTGTGTGTGTGTTTAGGGCTGACCCTTGGGATCAGATGACCTACCAGGGGTTTATCCCTGGAGAAGACTGATTCTCACTTTCTCAGCAGCCATTAATTGCCTATAGTTCTTCATACAGGGGTGAGGCCTTATGTGACTTTCCCCATTATGTTGGCATGCCAACTGGTGTTTTCATTGTGATATTTTGCTCGGGTGACGATGTTAAGATTTTATAGATGAAGTTTTCATCGTATATAGGAAGCACTATTTCACAGCAGAAATTCTCTGTGTGGACTACAATTTCAGGTTCTCTGGGACTTATGATCTTTCTGCCCCCTCTTTTATAATGTTTCCTGAACCTTAGGTATAGGGGATTGCATTATATATAAATGGGTTGGAGCTGGAACCAGTGTAATTTATAACTGTATTCTAAATACTTGTGTCCTTACATCTACAGATAAGTATAGCTCTCTCCTCTCATCGAAGAATCTCCTT